GGAAGGAACGGAACAAAGCAGGCAGGTGAGCCGTGAAATAATGCCAGGAACCCTCAGGAGGTTCCAGGCCGCTCTGGTGGGCTCTCGGGACGGGACACCTGGCCTGAGACCTCCCCAGAGGACCAACTGGTGAGAATTTCATTATTCACGTTTCTGTTCATGCGGTGAGAATCCGGGGATGGTTTTCTTTGCCGGTGCACCCTGCCCCTGCCCGCCCACGCCTCCTCGAACAGGTGTGTAGAGAAAGGTGTGAGCGGCACTTCGGGCCGGAGGGATTCTCAGGGCTAAGGCTGAGTCCCCGTGATGTTCGTGATGTTCGCTTCGGGGGATGACTTGGAAACCTGCCTCCTGCCTCCTCTGAGATGTCGCTCGGCCCCACCAGGCACGTGAACGTTACTGGGATGAGGACAGAGGATGTGCGAGACACCTTCCCTTCTGCCGCCTCCAGCACCTGCGTGAGAAGACGTACGGACGCCAGCCAGGGGCGCGCGTTAAAGTAGGGCTGCCAGGAAAAAACGAAGCGGCTCAGCTACTTAATAGCTCATCACGAGAAAGGTGCGGGCTGCGGCAGGAGGTCCTCCTTTTGTGACTGTACTATCCGGCCCTGCCACCCGGAAGGCAGAGTGCTTTGTCCCTTCTTGTTGGGATTTTTTCCCTCCCTACTCCCTAATCCTGGAGTGACAGCGTCCCAGTTTCTAAAGGTCACTGCCCTAGCAACCTGGAGCTCTGGAGCAAGAAGGCCTTGTTGCATCTCCTTTTCTCAAGATGAGCCTGAGTAACTCCATCGGTAAAGAGTGGCTCAGGCTGTGCTGTGATCCTGGCCTTTTGGGGGGATCAGGGGAGGGAAACAGGGCCCGGAGCTGGACTGGCCCCTTCCTGGGCGCTCCGAGCCCCCAGCGGTGGTTTGGGGATAGACTGTCAAGCTCACGCTGCAGAATGTCTCTGTGCAGGACCAGGCATCAGCCACCTGGATGTGCTGGGCTTGCTCCTCGACGAGATGACGGTGGGAATCTTACCAGCTGGTGCAGAGGAGACGCCGGGACAGCGCACGGCCGGACCTGCCGCAATTCGGGAGGGGCTGCCCAGAACCCACCGAGGAATCAGGGGGTCGGGTCAGAGAGAAGTGGGATCTTGGCAGAGGTACCAGTCAGAGGAGAAATACTGTCTTCGTTTCTCCCCAGGACCACAGTATGACAGAAGGCACAGGGGCCAGGAGCGCTTGACCTTGAACCTGACCCGTCCTGCACTTTTCTGGGGCGCGAGGATGAGGGCGTTGCAGGGTGGGGGAAAGGAAAGCAGCAGCGTGGGGTCCCGGGAAGATGGCATTTGCCACTGTGGCTCCTCCGGGCAGGTGCAGAAGTCGCGCCTCTACGTCCCCCCTCCTGCTCTCCAGAAAGCTGCCCCGTGCACCCCTGGGGGGTCCGCGTGGGGCCACACTCCCCCGCCGCGGGACTCACCATCGCACTTGAGCCCCTGCCGCGCCAGTCCCCACAGCAGGGTCCCGCAGTGCTCGCAGAAGGTTGGGCTCTTGTAGTTGTAGACTTTGAATCTGTGCGGCATGTCGATTTTGAACCTCTCCTTGTGGAACTGGAAGAGAAAGGTAGAAGGCGAGACTGCGCGTGCGTGTCCCCGGGGCCCGACTTCTGATGTCCTCGCGGACACCCCAGCATAACAACGGTGACCACAGTGAAAGCACTGCCACCTTGTGCATTTCAAACCACCATCGTCACCCGTCAGGGCTTACGGCCGCGTCTGAGGAAGGCAGAAGCCCTCAGCAGTCGCAGGTAAGGGGCGAGCCTGCCACCCGCTCGCGCCGGGCGCCTGCACACCGCTGAAGCCCAAGGCGTCCGCGCAGGAAGAATGGCACGAGGGCCGTTTGTTTAAACAAGAGCTCAGGAAACGCTGCTCCTGTGTAAATAAATGAAACTTTTCTTCCTGTTTTAATATAAATATTTCCTTTTCTCTTTCAGTTCAGAACTAGTGCTTTTGCCTTTTTTGAAAATGTCAAAAGATGCCTCCTCTAGAGGAAACAACTTTCCAGGCTTATCAGTGTGACAGCCCAACGTGGGAAGAATTTTCACACCTGTTACTCATGAACTGGGGGGGAAGAGCAGTTGAGTAACACTCGCCACCAAGTGCCAGAGACAAATGTGTCACATGCATCATCTATTACACGTGAGATATCTCATGTAGTCCTCAGAACACCCCATTTGAAGTAGCTTCTATTACTCTTCTATTGGACAGATGAGGAGATTAAGCCCAGAGAGGGCCAGAAACTTTCCCGGGTCACACAGCGATGGTGCTGGAATATCTGTGAACTTTGCAGTCAGAATCGGAGCCCATGTATTCTCTTTTCTGCCTCAAACTAAAGTAAAGGCTTGGGGGAATGGGGAGAGGTGAGTGGGAAAGGGATGCTAGTGGTAGATACATTGCAGGATTTTTTTTTTTTTTAACCGTTTTCCAGAGTTTAAAATCAAACTTCTCCAATCGCCAACAAAAAAAACCCAGGTAGTTGGATTCCTGGTAAGAATGCCAGTATTCTTTTGCAAGATAAAACGTTTTACTTTCTTGAGACTTATAATCTCTGTAGAAATTTCTAATTAACATATTAACCGCCACGTGAGTTGTATTTAACTCACGCTAGTTTTGAGCCCGGCGCCTCGTGAAGCATATGGAACTCACACGTCTCTTTACCTTGGGAGCCACGTGAACTATTTTTCAAGATGCACAGAACTCACACACAGAAAACAATAAAAAAGGCACACTGGATTTTGAAGACTTTGTATGAAAAAATTATGTAAAATATCTCACTTATTTTTTATATTTGTTGAAATAATATTTGGACAGATTGGGTTAAATAAAATATACTATTAAGATTAATTGTACCTGTTGCTTTTTCCTTTATTTACTGTGGCTACTTGAAAGTTTAAAATTACCCATGTGGCTTTTACGCTATTTCTGTTGGGCAATACTGCTCCAGGTGTTGGACCCCAAAGATGGTGTCTCCTTGAGTGAGCAAGCAATGAGAATATCCCCAAGAATGGAACATAACCCACAGAGACACCCACTCATTGAGCTCACAGTTTCTGCACACTTTACTTTGTGCCAGGGACTTCGTCAGCCATTGAGGTTAAGAGTGATACTGAGAATTTGTGATTTTTCGAGACGAGCTGAAGGCGTCGAGCAAAGGGAGAAGTGTAGAAAGTGGCCATGTGACTTAAACAAGCCAAGCCCTGTCTGGGAGACGCATCTAAATTTTAGTCTTGGCTCTGCCACTTGCAGGTGACTCACCATGGACAAACGAACCTCTTTGGGCCTTGGCAGAGTCACTTGTTAATATGAGATGACGCCCTTCTGGCCCTAAACTTTAGAGGAAATTCCACTGTGCACCTGCCCCTTTGCTGGAGATGGTCGTGAACCCCGTCAAACTCAAATCGGCTTTCGGCTCTGCTCGACAATGCCACTGCTTCTCACTAACCTTGCTTTCTCATCTCTAAGATAATTATTTCACAGCCGTTCCTTTTTCCCCAAAGCCACTTGTCACCTTCTCTCCTTCCACCCTCCAACTCTCAGGCTCTGTTGAGGACATAAGTCACCGACGGAAGAGCCCTCGTCTGCCCAAATCTACAAACCCAGCCTCACCGGCAACCACCTCGCCCTACTCGGTTCCCTGCGTCCGTCAAACAAGGGTGTATCAGATACACAACACACATTCGTGGAATGAAGAAGGCAATTGTGGGAGAAGGAAGTCAAAGTATTTCGTAACGACAGGCTGTCCAGCGTGCTAGGTCAGGGTCCTTTCTCCAGAAGGTAAAATCTGACTTGTCTTCACACTATACCTCAAAGTTCACTCTGAGAGAATTATTTACATCTCAACATCGGCATTACCCTTCTGTTACTGTCTCTTCCTAACCTTGTAAGTGCCATGTCTCTGTATTTTCTAATCATTCGCCTTTATTTACTTTTTAATTGTCACTTCTAGCTATAGATTCTGCAAGGGTTGTTCTCATGTAATTAATCAAAACTGTGCTTTTAGGCCCACTTTCTATTGCATTTTTCTGGAAAAGGTAGAGTCATTAAAATTCCTTTGGTGCTCTTCTTATCACTCTCTCGTTTTGGTAATTCAATAACAACTCAGTATTGAAGAGGAAAGATTTTTGGGGAGATTGATGTTCATTGGTAAGTGTAAAGACCCAAGTTCAGGCATTATTAAATTTAATTCAATAATTTAATTATTTAATACGAGGATAAAATCATCATATGTCAGACAAAGAGAGGAATCTAAATACGTACCATGGTTTCTCGGCTATTGACGGCCGATCCTGTGCACTTAGCGATAACTTTATCAATGCACTTCTTGTGGATTGCTGCATTACATTCTGAAAAGAAATAATCACCGCTTAAGATTTTCAGAAGTTAAGAAACAACTAAATGAAAAGAACGACGACCATACGACAGAAATCCTTCTCACTTACGTCGGCACTGGTAGCCCTGTTTGTTCAGGCCCCTGCAAGAAAGCACAGGACTGACTTTAGTTGGACGTTCATGTCAACGTTGGCACCAAAGACATTTAAGAGGGGAACGAGATCTAAGAGCTTGCAAGATCACAGAGCGTTTCTGATGAGTGGTCCTGGTGTATCACTTGCCAAGAGTGTTAACATCGAGGTTTTTATTTTTAGCTGCTTTGTCAAAAGTTTGATAACTAAACAAATGAGGAGCTGCCAATTTCCTTTTCACTTTTGTATTTTCCAAACAAACATATAGAGATTAAAATGCGTGACCAAAAAAACTCATCGTGGGCTCCTAGTAGCAGAATTCCACGTGCTAAGATTTAAAAATTCATTGCCTCGCTGAACTCACTACAGATGAACGAAGACTTGTGTAACACACTTTGTTTCCTCTTTCTGAGTGCTGGAGAATATTTGCAACCGACAAAGTCTCAAGTTTAAGACAAATTCCTGAGGAACACTCATTATTAGAAAGAAAAGAGGTTTAAGTCATTAGCAAAAACACGTCGATAAAAATCCACCAGAGGTCTATTTGGCCTTTGGACGCCCTGGTTAGCGGGAGCTGTGCGTGGACAGATTCCGCAGAGGCCCAGAGGGAGGAGCAGACTTTAATAGGCACAGGTGCTGAGAACCAGAAACAGGAGTCGTGTCGAGTCTCCGCTCTATCACAGCCTTCGCTACGTGGTTCCTGAGGCTTGAACTCATCTCTGTTTGATGGCGGTTAAGACGCCCAAGAGCCTCGTAAACATTTAATCCATTGGCTGCGATGGGAAAGCGCTGTCTGTTGCAGGCAATTGTACCAGTGCGGCTGGGCTGTCAGGTGGTGGAGGCTTTGACTATGAAACTGTAAAACGGTGCATATAATACAGATACCCTCCTCTGTTTCTCCCTGCAGCAGCCTCCCCTTAGTCAGAAGCTAACGTCCTCTGGGCGTCTTTCCTGACCGGGCCTGGCTTCCTTGCTGGACAGGAGCCACGTCACGAAAATCTTTCACTGGATCACACCCACCCTTTGAACCTCTCAGTCCGGGCCACTGGTGACTCTCACGTGGCACCTATTCCAGCACCTTCCCCACGTGGGGGCACGCCAGGCCTCGTGGGTCAAGAGGATGGAACAAAACACACAACCCGAAGCTGAGAGTGAAACACCAAGTTACTGTACCAGACAAACTCGTGGCAGACAGAGCAAAATGTGGGCTGCGGGAAGAAGGTGGCGGTGAACTCGTGGCACTTGACGTGGTGGACTTTGGCCTGTTTGATGGCTCCTCGGCGGTGATGCAGCGCGAAGAAGCCTTCTGCCTCGAATTCACTCATGTCCTTTGTGTCTGCAGGAAGACAACCGGGACAAAGTAAAGCTCTGCAACATGACCGTTCCAGCCGGGTGGGGAGGGGAGGGGAGGTAAGGGACAGGGAGGGACAAGCATCGAGTGGCTACACCAGTAACATTCCAGGGACTTATTAAGGTGGGTACGACACTAAGCTTCTCTCCTTCATTCTATGGTACGGAGTTATCATGGAGTGCATTAGCAGAGAGTGAAAACAGTGAAGTTGTATTGCTGGCTCAATCCTTCGCTCCTCTTTGACTGGGCTGAGCTATCCTCTTTTCATGTTTAAAACCAGAGATCAGAATTTTCAAGGTATTCATCAGCCTCTCTTCATCACCATCAGTGATGAGTCAGCCGGAAAGGCAGGAAGTGGCAAATGCTTTTCTGTCTATAATTCTAGAGAATCGTGTGTTACTGATAGTGACCTGGGACTGGTCACTGAGGGGCCAGGATGCTGTACATCTGGTTGTATGTACAGAAGGGAGCTCTCCAGACATTTGTGTAGGGGCAAAAGAACTTTGAGAAGTCATGTGTGTGCTAGTTCCTGATGACCACAGTGATCAAACACACCAGCTACCCATTATACTCGCCAACGTGGAAAGGGCTGGACGATTAATAGATCACTGCAATTTTTTTAGTGTCTAGGTAATCCCGTGTATTACCTAGTTATCTACATCAAACCATCAACTTCACATCTATTCAGTTTCCTCTGGGCTCATGAATGTTGGTGAAGTTGGTCTGAGTAGTCACTGCCCACGGTGGCCTACACCCAGGTGACATCTTTCCAAAAGGCTGAAGGACTCTAAGATGAGCAACCTATGAGAATATCCATGATGCCCTTGCTGAAGGCTAGGTCCCCCCAAAACACAAAATAGTAAGGCAGTCATGGTTAAACAGCGTGCTGAACACTGGTGAGAGAGAATAATATGCTGGCAATAAAGAAATAAAAATAACAGTCACTAAAATAAGAATAAGAAATAAATATATAAACAGATAAAAATAAAATAAGGATAATGAATTTAACTCCTAAAATTATAATTTTTACAATAGCTTGAAGATGCTTGGATTGCTGATTCTATTTTTTCATTTTCACAAATATAAAAAATTGAGGTTCAGCATGAATAAGGGGCTCAGGATATTTCACAAATATAAAAAATGAACAATATTTAACCTAAATTACTTCTATTCTGGCTAAGCAGTGGCATTGGTCTGAAAGTGCACTTGGGGACAACGCCCTTTCCAAGGCATCTTATTTTCCAATCCTAGTGGTGGCCGGGCCAGAAACACACCAGGTGGACAAAGGTCCTCCTGTGCGTGTCCCAGGACTCACGTCTTCTCTGCACTGGTCCAGAGATATGGCTACGGCAACCCCAAACTCCCAGATGGACAGCAGTCCCAATAGCCCTCTAGACAGTTCCTAGATGGGGCGTCGTACTTTGCCTAATATTTTAAGGCTGGGTAATTTAGGTCTTTTTATTTGGAAGTAGGCTGAAAATAAATTAGGCTTGGTTAATGAGGGGTCAAACTGAGGGTCTCTGAGTTGATCACCTTCTTCCACAAGTTCTGGCGTAAGTGTGGAGATCTATTTACAACCTGTGACTGGCGTCCTAGGTCATTTGTTTATATAATCACATGTGGCTCATTTCTATTTTGGTCCAGATGACATAAATTTAAGTATAAAAATACTTTCAAATTCAGAGAATGGAAGTGAATTATTCTGGGAACCCCAACTATATTATTGTGTATATATATATATATATATATATATATATATAAATACATAAACGTGTGCATTAGACTCTAACACTATAAATTTTTAACAAATCAGAAATTGTTAGAAATGCATTTATTCCCTTGTTCCTTTCTGTGATTTCCTTTGTCCTCTAACCATTCCAATTATTATAAAAGACTAAATATAAGAACACAGAATTTCTTTAATTCTTTGGGAATGACTATATTTCTTTCTGAAACAATTTGCTATTTCTATTTATTGGCTTGAATAAGCTCACTGGTTTTTATATGTTTGGTTTTTTTCTTATATACTAACGACTCCCAATCTATTTATTTAGTCTAATCGATCACTTGTTTGCAGTCAATCAAATCACAGTGTTTCCGGAGCAGCGCCGAGGGTGTCGCTGTGCGGAGCGCACTAAGGGGACGCGAGCTGTTTTTCCCGACTCCCGAGCGGCCAGCGTCACCACGGGGGCTCCGGCACATGCGAGAGCAGCTCGCGGTAAGAGGAGAGTGTAACGGTGTGCAACAGGCTCAGAGATAAAACACCCACATTTTTTAGGAGGTAGAAAAAGGAATTGCAAAAAAGACCAAGAAGGGCTAGCTGAGAAATGAAGAGAAAAACGTGGCCCACATCACACCAGGCACGCCATAAAAGAGTCGAATGTTTCGGCACTGATGGCTGGAGACACAGCAAGGAACCCGAAGGCTGAGAAACAGAAACTTGTTTGGGGGATTCACGATCCCGGAGAAAACCATTCCGGCAGATCATCTGAAATAAGCCAGACCCTAGGGTTTAAGAATTGAAGGAGTAGTGAAGAAACAGAAACTCATAAATACAAACCGCTTTTTCAAGAAATATGTCAGAAAGAGAAAAGAAAAGGTCATGGAGGTAAAAATGTTAAAGAGAAATCTTTTTCAGGATTGAGGAAGCTGGCCGAATGCGGAGTTTCAGCAGCGAGGAGGAAAGCACGGGGGAAGGAGAAGCCGGAGATGCTGGAGGACCAGCAGCCTGTGCTGGTGGAGCCCCGAGGCTGGGGCGAGCGGGTGAGGTTGGGAAGGGAGGCCCTTTCCTTGGGGGGCAGCAGGAGGGAACACAGGAGGAGGCAGCCGCATCCCAAAGTGCAGAGACAGAGAAGGTGGAGTCTCCACCGATGATGCCGGGGCGAAGCCCACCTCCAAGGGTGGGAGAAGAACAAGAGAGGCTCAGAAACCAAGGAAGATGGGAATGTTAGGAATTGCCGTTGTGTAGGAATCAAAAGGAAACGAAAGAAACTTCTAAATGTCAAAGTGATTCCAGCTGAACAGTTCAACACTCACTTGCTCATTGAGAACTAACCCTAACCTGCAGCCGGGAGCTGGGGTTAAAGAGACAAATAAGTGGTTTGACCTTTGCTCCCTGCAGGGAGTTGGCAGTCCAGAAAGAAAGACGATCGGTGTGGTAAATGTGAGAACAGAACGATTCGAGGGGTGCTATGGGGCCACGGAAGTGAGGGCATCATACCAGCGAAGGCAGGGGAGGGAGATGGAGGTGAGGAAGAGAGGAAAGGTGGGCCAGGAGCTGCGAGCAGAGATGATGTCTGAGCTGGGCTCTGAAAGATTAGTAACTCGTGCTAATGTGCGAGAGAAGGTGCGGTGGGGAGAGGCGAAGGTGGAAGGGCTCGGAGCTCAGCCCCCTCGGGGTGTGCAGGGCCCTGAGGTAGCCGGGCATTGCCCGAGTGCAGAGGGTGCAGCAGAAAAGACCTGCGGCCACACCCGGAAGACAGGTAGGCATCAGGTCATTTGAACGTTTTCCTGTGGGTGATTCACAGACACTGCCAAGCTGCAGCGGGGCAGAGGCGTGGCACGGTTGGACTGGAGCTTGGCGTAGTTTCTTCCAGCCGCGGTGCAGGAGAGTGGGACGGGCTACGGCAAGAGGTGACAACGCAGACGATAGCATTGACAATTACCGACTAGGCAGCGTGGATGGAAACTATCGACTGATTGACATGGGAGGTGTGGGAAGACGAGGCTATAAAAATTACTTCCAGGCCGGGCGTGGTGGCTCACGCCTGTAATCCTAGCTCTCTGGGAGGCCAAGGCAGGCGGATTGTTTGAGCTCAGGAGTTCGAAACCAGCCTGAGCAAGAGCGAGACCCCGTCTCTACTAAAATTAGAAAGAAATTAATCGGACAACTAAAAATACATAGAAAAAATTAGCCGGGCATGGTGGCGCATGCCTATAGTCCCAGCTACTCGGGAGGCTGAGGCAGAAGGATCGCTTGAGCCCAGGAGTTTGAGGTTGCTGCGAGCTAGGATGACGCCACGGCACTCTAGCCCGGGCAAAAGAGTGAGACTCTGTCTAAAAAAAAAAAAAAAAAAAAAAAAAAAAATTACTTCCAGGTTTCATGGAGCGAGTTATAACTGACTAAGACAGTGAGTGCAAAAGAAATAGATTGCTGGTGAACACGGTAAGAGTCATTCTGGACACGATTGAATTCGGACACTTTAAGTTTTGTGATTTAAATTCAACAGAATTTCGAGTACATATAGGAAATCTAATTGAGGAGGTCTACCGAGGGGTCGAACAGGTGAGTTCCATAGGAACATCATCGTGTAGCAGCTGTTTGCAACGGACTCGCTGAATGACGTTTTCTAGCAAAGCTGCGGAGAACGAGAGGGGAGAACGCAAGGCGTGGAGTTCAGAACATCCACGGCCGAGAGGGAAGGAACGAGACAGCTGCTGGCAAGGACTCGTACGGGGCCAGGCTCGGTGGGGAGTGAATGCCAGACCTGGGCTGATGAGTGGCGTAAAACAGAAGCTGGATCAGAGTCTAGCACTTACTGGCCGGGAGGAAGGGCAGGACTGAAGGGGAGGAAGCTGGGGCTCTGAGAGAGCGAGTTCTGCGGCTGCCTCCCTGGAGGTGGAGAGTCCAGGACGGCGTGTGGCATGGCTGGAACGGACAAGATGTGGGAAGGTTGCACTAGGGGATGGGAGTGTCAGATGGCCATGGTGCATTCTGGAGCCACAGGAGGGAGGGTAGGAGAGAAGAGGGGGAAGAGAAAAAGTGATTCCAGCCCAGAGATCAACAAACGGAGACTTTCAAAGAGACAGGACGGAGAGGTCTGCATATGGAGAGCTGAGCCATTTACTCCCTTGCGGGGTGGAAAGGAGTTGAGGCTTCCACAGAAGGGGGATGCAGGAGACCCGATGATATCTTAAATGTTATCCGAGTTTGAACTCGTTACCCTGCACATGTTTGCCTGCTCTTCTGATACCTCCCACCTCTGCCACGCCCGTCACTGTCGCAGTCTAGCTCTTGCAAGAGCGTCAACACTCTTTCCCTGCGGTCAGCTCTCCTGTACCTGGAACAGGCCTGCCTTTCATCTGCACTGCTCTTCCTTTTATTTCATTCCTGTAACCACACCCCTAGACCAGATTCTCATAGCGTCTCCACGGCGTAAGCAAAATTTCATAGGCCGATAATGTGTAATTCCGTGAATAAGAGGAAGGATACTCTTCCCGATAGTTCGAAGCAGGGCCCCAGTCTATGCACTCTCCTGGCCTGGCTCCCAAGCCCTTGGACACCTGTCTCTGACTCTCCATTCTCGTTTTGGCAGGGCCTGCTGGTCTACCCAGGCTGGTCTTCTCGCAGGCTACCCATGTCAGATTCTCGCTCAAGCCTGCATGTTTTCCTCCCTCTTCTTTGCAAATCTCAACTCTGCCCAGCCTTCAGTGCCCACGGTGGAATTTTCTGGAACGAAGGGAACCCATACTGATCTCTTGGTTAACCCGTATTTATGTGGTTTAGATTATAATTCTTCTCTAGTTGTTTAATCTGCACCCCCTCCGTAATCTGGGCTGACATTCTCTGAGTAGAAGAACTCACGTTTTGCTTTTTGAGACTTTCCTATATATAACAAAAATCATTATTAAAATTGAACAACATCCTATACTTTCTTGCCATCAACAAGAAACTTTCTAGTTAGGTTACTATATGAAATTGGTTGTTAAAAATGAGATTTTTTGATATATATAAAAATTTATAGACGGAGTCTCAATTTGGGTCTAGATATAAAAAGTTTTAAATATGTCAAAGTTTTATTCTTAAAAAAACATAATGGGTAATTATGGTTAGTGAGACATCATTGTTTTTGCCCCACCTGGATTTGCTTTCTCATTCTCAAAGAAAATTTAAGTTCCGTAGTAATAGGAGGAATATCCGTGGGATTGGTTTTCAGTGCAGGGATCTTAAAATCATTTACTGAAAATACTCGCATTCTGATGGAGGACTTGTTTTTAATTTATATTGTTACATTGGGCCATGCTGTAAACTAACGGGAAGAGTATACTTTTTCTTATTTATGGAACTACACATTATTGGTATTATTACTTAGGCCAGTACTTGGCTTTTTATGCAAATCTGGTTATTCAGATGCCCTGCAAACACTCTATCTCATTTGGCCAATTCAAAAACAGTGTAATTATATGTATTATACATCTATAGCCTCCAAGAGAAAAAAAAGTTCAGGGTATATTTTTCCCTTCTCAGGAATTTTTTTCTTTCTTTTTAAAAAACTTCATTATGGAAAATTTCAAATATGCACAAAAGTTGAGCAAATGCTGTAATTGATTTCTGCATCCTAACTATACAGCTTCAACAATGACTAATTCATGGTCTCTCTCTTCCAGTATACCTAGTTCACTCTTCCCCACCCCATGCCAATGGTTTATTTTGAAGCAAATTCATGGTATCATCTTATTTTATCTAGAAATATTTCAGCATGTGTCTGTAAAAGATTAGATCTCCTTTAAAAAAAATAACCACAATATTATTGTTGCACCTACAAAAGTTAATAACCATGCCTGGATATCATCAAATATCTGGTCCATGTTGCAGTTTTCCCTGGCTATCTCATAATACCGCTTTCTCCAATGTATTTGTTTGAATCTGGACCCGGAGGAATTATATGTGTTAAGCAAAAACCCAGAAAGCACCAAAAATCTCTAAACTAAAACTCTCTTCTTGGTAGCAAACCTAATTCAGGTAAAAAACGAAATCAGTTTATCATCAGTAAGTTCACATGTCCATTCTGAAGTTTAGGGTTTTATGAGTAGTAGCATTCGATTCACGTAAACGGCACTGGTAGCTTGTTGCAGGCGACAAGCACACCGTGATGGAAATTTAACTTTTGTGGCTAAAGCCTGCATGGGACATGGAACCAAAGCTCTTTAGCAATGCATTTTTTCACGCTTCTCTGTTCCAAAAAGGATTTGAGGTGACTAACCTCATTTTAGCATTTTTGCCATTAAATTTATGGAAAACATTTATCTATTTCTTTCTTGCGTCTTACTGATAGTGTGATAGCTCATCACAGCACAGCATTTACACATAGACCATGTGCACACATCACAACACATAAACAATCTTTTGCATTTACATTAAATTCCCAAACTAAAATAAAGACAGACGATAAAAGCGATATGGGCATAGGAATTCACCCCACCTAAAACAGAATCCTGTAAACATTTTGTATTTCTATGTTTATCTGGCCCAGATAGCGTATTCTCATTTCATGCCTGAGCACCACTAGGAATTTTAAGAAAATTCCTGCGCCTCCCTTTTCTCCTAATTTTTTCCTTTGATAATTGCAAAAGTAACGTTAAGTTTCACTTGAGGAGAAGGCCATGCCCTCCTCACCCCAAAACAGGAAGAAGAAATGTCACTTGCCACTCATTTCCAGAAAGTATCTTGCATTCATTAGCATTCGGCCTTGAGGTTTCAGCTCTAACTGGTTGGGAGAAGGAGAGAAACATCAATCAGAATGTGAAATGAGCCCCACAGTCAATGACATAACTGGCTACTGGGGATGGCAGGAGGTTTCCAATGCAGAATGCAATCATTGTTCTTTCCACTGTACTCATGCTCATTATCATCAGAATAGCGCAGCAGCCCTGAGGATAGCCTTTCTTTTATTAAAACACCCGAGCAATTCATTAATTTTACTTGGAGATCAAAAACGTGCCTAAGGAAGAAACAAAATTCTAAAATAGATCGTATCTGGTTTTCCTGCCCTGCGATTTGCTTATCTGAAGAGCTGTCCTAGGGCAGACTCGGATCTTAATCACGACAAAAGAATCACAGGAGCCAGGACCAGCTGCCCTGGGGAAAAGCAGGTGTTTTGGGGGAAAGAAAAATCCTGCTTCGAGGGTGCCTCCAGAGCCCTCACCGCCCTCCCTTGTGGGGTGCGTGTCTAGGTTAATTAGGGCGATCGGTGGGGTGGCCTCTTTCTTTCACGAAGAGGGACTGTTTTTTTTGACTGGGGGAAGTGCTGACTGATCCACTAAAGGAAATTTTAATTAGATTAGTCGGGGAAGGGATTAAAAAATATATATTTCAGTACCGTATCACCATGTAGAAGGGACCAGAACAAAGTGTCATTTTAAGGGATGATGGAGGATCTCTTGTAAAGTGATATAAAGAGAAAAAAAAGAACAAACCCAAGTCTAAGACAATCTGAGCACTACTCACTATTAAACCATCCCGCTACACCATTAATAGACTAAGAAGAATAAGAAAGAAGGTGAATCGAAGGTCATTATTGGTCACTGTATCTCAGTTCGCTAGAATAACGGAGACACAGTAAGTGATGTGGTGTTGAACCCAGGATTGAATTTGAGTCGTGGCTACATCATTTTCGGGCTGTATGTCCTGTGCATGACACCAGGCCTCAGAAAATCTCTGAGAAACTGACATAATAGCAATGTCTACGTCACAGCATCATCGCTATGAGAATTTTATGACAAAGTAAGCTTGTCCTGCCGGGGCCGCTGTAAATTCTCGTGCGAGCTTCAGCAGGTTGACGAGAAGAGAGGTGTTTTTGACACTGAGTGTAGACACATGGTTCTCTGGTTTGTGGAGTAAGTAGAGATGGCAAAAATGGAAATGGAAGAGCAAGGGTAAGGGGCCCATTGCCAAAGGAAATGGTGACAATTGGCACCAAGTGACCACAAAATTATCATATTCAGGAATTAGTGGCAGTGGGGGAAATTGAACCAGTGAGCTACCAGGAAAACAATGTTCACAGAAGTCACATTCCGGCACGTTCAGGGAAGTGACCGGGGAATGACCAGGCAACCGGTTACACCATTGGTGGACCAGGAGGCAAGTCCAGCGCGGTGTTTAGAGACAAGACGGTGTCTATGGAGGGGAAAGGCAAGTTAGAGAAAATAATTTTCTAGAAAAAAAACATTAATTTTAAGAGATCAGATTTCAATAAAATTAAGGGAAACTATAAGTCCAAAACAACCTGTTGGTTTTTAAAATAAAATAAAAGTAAACTAAGAAATAACCTTGGAAAAAAAACCCCACAAAGCTTAAAAATGCCAAAAGTGTGCTGGTTGGTTAAATGAGGGTCTGCATGCCACACAGGCTTGCGTCTAAAAAAGCGGAGAATGCAAAGAGTGTGAAAAGTCTGGTAGGAATAAAATCAGCAAAATCCTAGCAAGAAATCGAAGGCGACCTGATGAGATAGGAAAAAGCAACCTGCATGTTAGTGGAAGCTAACTAACAAAAGGATTAAAAAAAACCTAGTTATCGTTTCATTAATTGAGAAGGAAACATGAATAGAATGGTGTTTACAATTAGGGAGTTGATGACTCTTCTCTTTTTAAAAAAATTAGGCAGAAGCAGAAAATATATGGGAATGGGGGAAATTGGAATAGATTTTCTATCTCTTCTTTCTCCTTGCCTGGCCAAAGGCTCTACGCTTCAGGCCCAGCTAGAGCCTAACGCTCTGACTTACCTGGTTTGTGTAAACTCTTTGACACTGAGTTAATCACCTGCAACATTATCTACCTGTTTAACCTTTTCCTACTTGCCTAAGCAGCCCCCCTAGAGGAGTTTTGCTTCCAAAATCCCCCAAGCTCCATAGATACTGAACTAAACTACCCAGACATAGCTAAGCACAGGGACCTGTTAAACAGTTTTTTTGGCATGAATTTGTCTTTAAAGATTACTTTAGTGACTCGAGCAAAGATTTATATACTTGCTTAAAAAATATTGATTCTTTCCCCCTGAGGTCAAAACTATAAAACTGACACAACCACCTAGATTTTAGGCTTATATTATTCCCATTGAACCTATGACTTGAAAATCTTTTGGGTGGATTTCTTAAAATCTGAGTAATAGAAAAGTAGGAAGCAGCAAAGTAAGATTCTCTCCTTTGGCATAAATGATATAAACATCTGAAAACATTTTCTGGGGTTTAGATCATGAGAAAGCAGTTTTTACTAACATATTTTCTTTCATTTCATGCCCCAGAAATTTTCATTAGAATTTTTTATGTTTTCCGATTTTACTCTTCCCTTGAAGGTTTCTAAACAGTTGCTACCCAAACAGTTATAACCTAAATTTTTTAAAAAATTATTGTGCTAACATGAATTGTGTATGATGTACTTCTTAGTACAAAGTGAGCTAAGTGGATTCACTATGGCTGAAAACAATTTATAGAGATAGGCAAAGTATGAAGAGGAAAGATCAAACATTAAATGGGTCTTTATTCTATCTTTTCACATTCTAGTATCTCTTATTTTTATTATAAAAATATATTAATGAAGTTTAATGAAATTAATAAGATTTTGCTATCTCAACATGCCCGAGTCTATAGGGTTAAACAAGTAGTTTCTAAATTAAAAACTATTAAAGTTGTCATTTGCTAAATCTTACTAAGTTTTTTATACCAATACTCTTCCCAAAACTTGAGAAAGTGAATGAAGCTAACAGCTGCGTTGATAAATAGACAATTCCTCCCCAAATCAGGAGGAATTTGTGATATTTCCAAGCTTACTTTAACAGTTATAAATCAATAACAGTTTCTCACAGTCTAAGAGACCTTCTTCACCTTGCGTAGGAATCAGAAGAGATTAGAATATGCCAGAGTGTCCTATAGCCCACAGTGAATAATCGTAGCCTTTATCAAACCACCGATGAGTAGGTGGCGGGGAACGTGTTATCTAAGGCCAGAGTCATCGTACCTTTAGGATGACATGGGCATATTGAGCTGGCCATCAGCTGGCATTGTGCTTACCCCTTAGCGGTGCACGCACGTTACACAAAGCTCATGGCTCGGACAATTACCCATATCTCCGTCTTCCCGTTGTTCTTCCTGCACCTCTCGGCCAGCGAGTAGAGCTCTACGGTGGTTTCAGATATGAGGTCCACATTTTTGTCCTTCACGATGATCTGCATCACCCTTCCCTTGTTGATGTGGGCATCAAAAGTGCTGTCCCAGGGTGGGTACATGGTAGGCTTTTTCTGGATATACATCTGCCCATTCTCTAGGGACAGAAAGACAGGTCCCCATTACCCCTGTGGCCAGCTCTGGAAGAGAATTCGATTCAACTCAACAGGGGGACCGGTTCTCTCTGCTCTCTGGGATATGTAATTCTGTTGGGAGGATGAAGGTAACACAGAAACAGTCAGAGACAATACAGGACAGAATGAGACAGTTCCAAGGTCTAAATGCAAGGTAGTGCACTGAATCTTACAAGTCCAGTGTAGATAATTTAGACAACAACAGTCTGCTAATGTCTTTTTTTTTATTTCAGAATATTACGGGGGTACAAATGTTTAGGTTACATATATTGCCTTTGCACCGCCTGAGTCAGAGCTACAAGCGTGTCCATCCCTCGGACGGTGCGCACCGCACCCATTAGGTGTGTGTATACCCATCCCCTCCTGCCCCTCCCACCTGCCTGACACCTGATGAATGTTACTACCATATGTGCACATAAGTGTTGATCGATTAGTACCAATTTGATGGCGAATATATGTGGTGCTTATTTCTCCATTCTTGTGATACTTCACTTTGAAGAATGGGCTCCAGCTCTATCCAGGATAATACAAGAGGTGCTAGATCACCGCTGTTTTTTGTGGCTCAGTAGTACTCCATGGTCTACATATGCCAGCCACATTTTCTGCTAATGTCTTGGACTGGAAATGTTCTTCTTCTATTTGACAGTTAGTTGCTTCTCTTTGGGTGTGAACACTTGAGTGAATGAACTTCTTTAAAACCACTTTTACACCTTTTGAGATCCTCCTTTGTTAATTTATAAAGGGTAAATTATATGACTGATTAACTTCACTGATGTTGAGTAAAAAATAGTCAATACAAAACCACTGTGTGTTCATCCGAAAGACACGGTGGCACAACTTAAGCTTATAGTGAGTAATCCTCTAAAAATATTTTAAAATTTCCCACTTGGCATCAATATCCTAAAAGGCAATAACTATGAAAACATAATGAGCCATTATTTCCTTTTCTGATTCTTCGATGAGGATACACATTGCGTACACCGTGTGCCTAAGTGAAAGCGGACAGGTAACTTAGACAGGTAGCCGTCTGGGTCCACGGAGCCAGCAAGGTAGACTGCAAACCCGCAGGTAGGAGATGGAGGCAGGTATGAGTCCTGGAACCGGCACAGGGTGATCAGTTGAAGGGAAACGTCCCTAGAAGCCACCAGGTGCCTGGGAAAGAGTTTACTAATGGAATCAAGCAGTTTTGTCCTGTCTTTCATCCACACTGGATTGTCTCCGGTATTTATTCTTTAACCATTTCAGAAGCAGGAAACCGCAGCTGTATCTGAGGGTTTGTTTCTTGTGATATAAGCACATTAAGTGGCGGATTTAGCCATTCAGAGATGTTGATTCAGTAGGAAAAAATCCGCTTACAGCCAGGAAATAAAGCCTTTCCAACCTCGAGGGCCCCTTCTCTCCGACACGCAGGCTGAACGGGGCAGGCATTTAGCATTTGTTAAATTAGTATTTATTGGGGCAAGACACAAGGAGTTGAATAAGCTGAAACTTCAAATTTCAGGTAAACTTGGCTAGTAAAGGCATAGACCACGAAGGGTGGACTAGGAAGGGGAAGATTTTTACAGCTCGGTTAAAAAAGATTTTGACTGCAGATCAGGCGTTTTAGAAACCAATGGCAATATTGATGCTCATAGTAACGTTTTACTTCCACAGACGCGAAGCTTCCCCGTCGGATAATTCCTTCCAACTGTAACCATTCTGCAGGTGCAGAGGAAAAGGCCAAAAATCTCCAGAGAAAGGGCAAAATTCCCCCCCGAAAGGCATTTTCTTACATTTTCATTCACTGGGTTTGTAATCAGCTAAAAAGAGGACCAGAACTCAGGAGCCTCTGTTGACAGTGAGTGTTGAGATTTTCAAAAGCTCACGGAAAATGCAGCCCCACACGCCACAGCTCGAGGTGGCTTCAAACCCTAAAGACGTAATGCTTGGATGATAATGTTCAGAGAGATTTCTCTTCAGAACGAAACCAAAACAAAATCAAAAACAAAAATCTCCAAACTTCCTCAAAACCCCCGCAGGCTAATATTGTGGGAAAAACAAAAATGTTTTCTCCTTTTCTGACGAGGTCTCTTGATCCACGTGGCTCATGAGACCAAGTTCAAAGGCAAGGCTAAAAGAAGATGCAGGAGAAGAAGAAAAGCTCTCCAGAGGCAACGGTCAGTGAGATCCGAGGTTGTAAACAGAACGGGAACCAGGAGACCCATTAAGTCAAAGGCAGCCGCTTTGAAAAACTCAGACATTTTGCACTTCAAAGATGCCTGTGACATTTGAAAGGTTTAGGTTGGGAGTAAGTGGCATTCTCACTTTCAACTAAACAGAAGAGAACTCTGGCCAGAAGGGAAGTCCAGATGACTCAGACAGGGTCCTGGGCTTTGATGTCTTCAGAGCGGCTGGAAGGATGAAGTCAGCCATGAAAGAAAAAGTCTTTTATTGGGGGCAGGGGCACAAAATAGTGGGATTTGGAACCCCAGAATCCAAGTCAGTTTCCCCCTGCATTTGCAAATGTCCTGCCCCGCCCCTCCAGGCCTCTTTAGGATGACCCTGTATAAAATCACAGATATCTCTGTCGCCAGTCTACCTCCCACTCCTTGCCTCTGCCTGGTGTAGCACTGAGCGTTACTTACCACGTTCTAGTTTTGCTTGTTGCCCGTCTTCTTCTGCAAGACAGGATGCTCTAAAGGGAAGGCACTCTTTCTGGATTCTTTCGGCTTGTGTGTGATTTTTCCCCCCCTCTGCTCTGGCCCCAGCACCCTTACAGGGGGACCCCCATAAACACTTCTGTGTACATGAATGGTGATCGCACCTCTCTGCAAAGTGTCTGCTGCAATAAGACACGTGTGCAGGGAAACAGGAGAAGCTAGTGAGGGTGGGCAAGTCTTGGGGTATAAACTTCCTCCTACCTTTCTTTTGGACAGTCCATACGACTCTTAAAATGCAACAGTAAGGATGGAGGAAGCTGGTGGAAGTGACCACAGAGAGATTCCATGCGTAATAGGACTGTTTTAGCAGAACCTTCCAAAGCTGGGGTCCCCTACCCCTGGGCCTCGGCCCGGTACCGGTCCATGGCCTGTTAGGAACCTGGCTGTGCAGGACTGTCTAAGCTCCACCTCCCCCCACCTCCGACCGCCTTGGTAGAAAAATTGTTTTCCGTGACTTAGGTACTGACGTACCCAAGATCATCCTGCTTATGATCCATAGCACGGATCTTGGAACCCAGCACTGTCTGCTTTGAAGACTCAGGTTTTGTGCAGCAGATGCTCTCGGTGTCTGTGTCCCTGTGCCCGTGACACTCCACACTGCACAGGCTGGATTTCACAGTGCCTCCCCCTCCAGCACTGACTGGTGGGAGCTGGTGTTTAAACAACCTGGCTCCCTTGGCCCTCAGGTAAGATAGTTCTGCTCTATGTGTTTTATACTGTAGCTCAAAGTTTCTCTGCAGGATTAATCTCCAATTGACCACTGTGGCAGTGGCCTTAATAATGCACCTTTTATTAGTCTCTCCCAATCCCAACTTCCCTGCATCTCCCAATAAACTATTTATAATTAAAAAGAAAAGAAAAAAATTGTCTTCCATGAAACTCAGGAACCAGGCTGCACAGCAGGTGAGCAGCGGGGAGCAGGCGACGCTTCATGCATATTTACAGCTGCTCCCCATCACTCGCATCACCGCCCGAGCTCCGCCTCCCCCTCCCTCCGCCTCCATCCCTGGACAAATTATCTTCCATGAAACCTGTCCCTGGTGCTGAAAAGGTTGGGGACCAGGGTCTAAAGGAACCTCAGGTGGCTGTCCCACTTTCCCCCCTCGCCATGAACTGCCTATAAATACTAAAATTTGATGAAACATGACTGTTCTTTCTTTCACCCAGGGCCTTCGTAAGTGCAAAAGTCTGTTTTCTGAAATCTGGATTCGAACGGCTCATTGTAGAGGCTTCATAACATTCATTGCAGCTTTGCCAGAGAAGCAGCAAACAGTCTTTGGAACTGATCCCAGGGTTATGCGGTCTTAATCTACCTGGAGTTATCGCAGGTAACCAGGCTCAACAATACAGGTCCTGGATTCCACTCCGGCTCTAGAGTCCTCTCCCATTGCCTCGCACAGAGTTCCCTCCACCCCACTTTCTCCTTCCCTTTGTCTGCATGAGGAAAACGGTGCACGGGGCTATAGGACAACCAGGGGGTGACAAGGTCCTGGCTCAGAGTCCCTCACTAAGCGGGTGTCCTTGAGGAGGTACCTGGATTTGCTGCACATCAGTGTCCTTAACTGCTGAATTCGGTTGAACCAGATGACCTTGAATGCCCTTGCTTCACACACATCAAGATCCAACCTCCCCTCCCCTGCCGCCTCCCCGGACTCGCGCTTACCTGATTCAACATACTCTTTGACAAGCACGGCGCAGTAGGGGTTAACCGCCTCGCCCTGACAAGACTGGCAGGACCCACAGTCAAAGTTGGACAGGCCGATTCGAAGAAACGGTGACATGGTTGCTCCCTGGAAAAATGACAAAAGACAAGTGCTATTTGGGGGCTGCAGGATATATTACTTTGGGTGCCCCATCTGCGTGTAACTGGAGGCTTTATCACCAACAGCCAGAGCCGCAGAGGGGTCGACTATCCACCCGAGCAAATGCTGTCACTTCCCTGCTGCAGAGGACGTCGCGGGACTCACCCGAAACCGCAGACCGACTCTCCGAGGGAAGAGGCTTTCTGGAAGTCTGCATTCGGCCTCCTTAGAGAGAACTGGCTAAAGCGCTAATCCCACTCGAGCTGGCGGGGTGACGCCGAAGGGGCGCAGCGAGGCCAGGGTTTCCCGACATTTTACTTGTTCTGTTATTCAAGTCAGTGCTCAGGAAACAACGCGCAGTAATGGGAAAACGAGTTTATAAAGAGCGAGTCTATTTTGGTCACACTGGTTAATATGACACCGCAAAATGCTTGCATGGCCTGCGTGTGCAACGGAATTGGCCAGAGGCATTTAGCAGCTGATCCCTGTTCACTCTGGATGTTTTCAAGAACAGCTCTTTCTTCACAGGGACACACACGCGACGCGAGCCTTTGAACAGTGCGAACCACCTAGCAAACCCCAGCTCACGCACACTGTAAAACAGGGCTTTATCATCTGAGGGTGGACAAAGTACTCCACAAAGGCTAAAACACTAATAATTGTGTTTTCCAGGAGATTTATGTGAAAATTACTATAGTGTTGGCTACAAATCTGGGAATCTAGTCTGACTCTTCCGCTCCTGTTCCCTCTTGGGGGGCTCGCGCCGCTTACCTGGACTCCACACCTTTTCCTTCCTACCAGCTCTCGCCCCAGGTCCCATTTATCCGAAACTATCTGCTCACAGTCAGTGAAAAGGCTATTTCCTTGTTCCCTCTCTTCCTCATCAATTTTCCCAAAGTAAGCCAAAGATGACACAGCAAAGCATTGGCTGTCTTTTTTACAAAGGAAGGAAGTTATTTGGAATAATAGGAACCCGGAAGTGAGAATCAGTAACCCCGGAAATCGTGGGGGGAGCAGTGGGGGGTGATACCTAATCTAGCCAAGCCCCAAGAAATCCCCAGCACTCAGGAATGCTCATGCTCTTCAGATATTTGGGGATCTGTAGAGTGACAGATTAGGGACTCCTGACAGGTATTGTTAATTTGGCAGATGTTGATGAAGTCCGAATTTCCTGCAGAGTTGGAAAAGTCCGTCTAAGGGAGGAGGCTGCGTAAACATCATGATTTGTTAGGTATCCCTGGTCTCCGAAACACATTCTGTGCACATCACGCTGTCGAACACACAGAGATGTGTGTATGTCCCTGTGTGTATATGTACATGTAGGTATATGTTTGTGTTTATATGTATGTATATGTGTGTGTGTATGTATATCTATAAACAGCCAAGAAGATGTGCAATGAGCACATGAGCATAAAATTAACAGAAGATTTTTATGGGCTGCCTTTTTTGCGCGGAGCTGATGGTAGCAGAGGGGACTTCCCTGAATGTTAAAATAGAAAGGAGATTTCCTGTCAACAAAAATACACGTGCTGGATCAGCTGCCTCCAGGCTAAGCGTGTGTGAATCTGTCCTGTGTGGACTGTAAATTTCAATCAATCTCATCTTTACCCTCCTTCTCCGTGTGATGCGAGAGACCAAAATAGATGCCCGTTTATCAACCAAGACGAACTTTAAGGTTAAGGAAACAAAAGCCACCTCATGGGTCGAGGGTTCAGGGCTTAGCTGGCTTGGCAACTTCCTAAATTCCTACAACTACAAGAAAACCCACCCTCTTGCTAAATCCCCTAACAACAGGAGCTGTCCCGCAAATTGTCAGACCGTCCTTACTCTGATTTACAACGCAGACCGCTGCAGCTCGAACTGGGCAGAGGACTGGTCTTATAAACATTCCCTTCTGATAAACTGCAACAGGAAGCCAGTTCAGCCAGCCCACAGAGACTGCGCACCAACTGCGTTTATGTCCTGTCGTTCACCTGTTGATGCGAAGAGCCAAATTCTACCTCATTTTAATGCTAAAACCCAGCCCCCAAGTGCACACGGAATGTATGTTACATATATGTTTACTCACTGCACATGCTGTCAACCCCCTCATACGCATGCATGGCTTTTCTCCAAACCTGTTGAATGTGTATGACTTTCTTGTGCGATACAGACGCTGTGAGGCATAAAACCACCCGCCCTTTCCCTCACTGAAGAGAGAGCACCTTTAGTACACGCAGAGACTGTCTCTTCCCGGTTTGCAAACTGATGTTGCCAGCAAAGCTCTCCTTTCTACTATCCAGCCATCCTGGAGGACTTCTGGATGACGCAGGGCAGTCTCATACTTCACAACAACGACACGTGCCCGGGGTCTAACAGGGCAGGGGACCTGGACTCTCTCCTGGACATCCCCAAGGGGACCCTCGGCTCACCAGGACCCACACAGCACTCCTGACTTCCCTTCCAAATCCGCCCGGCCTTTCACTTGGCTGGCTCGGTGCCGGGTGCCGTGGCGCACAGCCGAGCCCTCTGCTCCCACTTTACTCTTCCCCTCGTGCCCACAGCCAGCTTCATCTCCCGTGCCCCGCCCCCTCCTTCACCTTCACCTGGTCCTAGTGCAACTCTATGGCCTCTCGTGTGGTGCTCAGCGGCAGCTCACCCTGTGTCCTCTGTCCAGGCCTGGTCACCTCTCACTCCCCGTCAGATCTCCACGCTGCAGCCCCAATGCTCCTAGGATCTTGCAGAACTGCCACTGTTCCTCCAGGGTGGTCTGCTGCTTGCAGATCCAGACTTTTAGCAGAGCTGCACGTCTCCTTGGAATGCTTCCTATTGCCTTCCATCCGTCTCCCGCCACCCTCCTCCTCACCTTTCAGGTCCCTGCTCAGTCTCTGTCTTCTCTTTGAAGCCTTTCTTCTCCCCTCCTCCGTGGCCCTCCCATCAGCACATCGGGGTGGGTGTACTCAGCCCTCCAGGCTCCCACGGCTCCCTGGGTGCACAGCTAGACAGCACTTGTCGTATTTATTTGCTTGCCCCTGGCATTTCTGAAGTCAGAGTGGGGTAGATCCTGTGGCTTTGGCTCTCAGTCCTCCAGTGGGGGGCAGGGATATTGTAGAACCTTACCAGGATGCAGGATGTCCCCTACTTAGTCCTTGAGATGCCACATAAACTAAGATGAGAAGTTCGACTCCAACTACAGGAGTCTCTCTGATCTTATTTGCAATGTATTTAGCAAAAGCCCTGCAGAGCGGGTGCACGTGGGTGCATTACTTTGCTAGTCTCTAGCTGTGATAAAGGATTTCCTCTGTTCACACAATCCTTTGGAGACGCAGTCAGGTTGTGGGATGGGGGAAGAGAGCACCGGTGTGCTAGTGCCTACCCTGCCATCTTTCCCTAGGACACTTTATTGGATTTACTGGTTCACATCTGTCTTCCTTAACAACAAGACTGTGGATTCCAAGAGCAGGGACCATGTCTCCATCACCTATATGTCTCCGGATCTAATGCCCCTGTCTGATATGTGGTAGATGCACAATGCATCATTGCTAAGGGAGATAATTTTCAAAAACAATTTTACGTCATCTCTTAATCTCATGCATTTGTTTTACCTGCAAGGGTACACGATGGTCAAATTAAGCGACGGTTATGGAGGAAATCAAGAGCAAAGGAAATGTCCCAGCACTTGTTACAGGCAGAAGATCTATGCCTTCATGAGCTCAACTGCTACGGTCATTCAGCCTCTCTACGCCTGTTTTCTCAGTTGGAAAATGCTGATAGCGCCACTCATCATCTCAAAGGACTATCAGGACTAAATGGTAAATTCACACAAGGTGCTTAGAATGGGACTGGCACAGAGTGAACTCTCATAAACGTTAGTTATTGTTATTACAACTCTGATATATTTCCGAATGGACTTTCTTGACTTTATTGGTATGTACCAGAAAGAGCAGGAGGAGAGTAGAAATAGTCTTTTAGGAGCATATTTGGTCTAAATTATGTGACCTTCCTCTGTGCTCTGCTACCAAGCTTCCATAAAACCCTGCATATATCTCTCGTGGAGAACTGATACAGTCGTCTCGCTGCCGGCACTTCCTGTGATGGATGCCAGGTATGTCCATCCAATCTTGCACGCTTTTGCTATCTCAGCTACAAAATACCATCATAATATGTACTTTAAATTTGCAAAGGATCTTTACTCTTACAAGCTCAATGTTTTGGCCTTTAAATGTGATCTCAATTGTCTTTGGCACTTAGCTTGGATGCAGTCCATGGTCAAGCACGATTGCTCAGTGTAGGTCACACGCACTGGATGCTGACGCACCTGCTTACTAGGACGACCCACTGCCCACAATTCAACCTCCCAACGCTTTCATAGTGATGTTAAGGATGTCTGCGTAACAGAGCCTGGTGGGGAAAATGCATAGAAATAGAAGGCAGAGAAGTGCTGTAGACACTCATTACATGAGAAAATATTAAGAATTCTCTTCCTCAGCAGCAAATGAAATAAGAATTAGCATAGTTTTATCTTTAAAAAACTCAGAACAGCATTCGTATTGCTATAATGTAGCTGGCTATGTTTCAGTGAAGGGGAGCATCTCACGGGAATAAAATAACAATAACTTGTATCAAAATCTTGTGGAAGAGAACACAGATTAGTCAACAGTAAATTTGGGAATGAGAAAAAAAAAGCATTCGATGGTTTCCAATTACATCTGCTCAGATGAATTTGATAAACATCGGTTCATAAAAATTTTGTCAAATTAAGCTACACCTATAGCTTTTCATTTTTTCCTGAGATAGAAAGGTTTCCTAGGTAAAGTGACTGCTGTTAAAAGTTACATATAATTTTAAAAAACCTTCCTTACAGTGTGCACAGAAGAAAAATGGTAACTAGTAAAAAAAAAATTCCCATAATCAAGTAGTGTTTTACCCTGTTGCTAAGATTTCAGCAAAGTAGTATAATAGAGATTCAGGTTATTTATTAGCCTCTCACCCACAAATATGGTCTCAAAGGTAAATCAAAATAATAAGTATGATATGAAGGCAATATTTTTAAAATAACCCCTACAATACACAACGACAAAAGAAATAAGCCCAACATTCAACCGTCAGTTAGAAATAGCCACGAAGGGGGCTTTGTAGGCAGACCCGGTGCTTCTCCCCTTTCCTGCAAACATCACCAAGAC